TTAAGCTGACATAGAAAACAAACCTAAAGATAAACAAAACATATGTAGTTTAGAGATAACAAAAATGGAAAATACACTTGGAAATAAACAAATCATATTAAGACTAACTTCTATCTCCCATCTCCCAAACGATATACCAATATCGGTTTGTCATTTAATAATACATTGTTAATCAAAAAAAAATCTATGTTAAATAATTTAAAAAATTAATGTTTCACACTCGAAAATACTGAACAAACGGGTTCTGTAAGTAAATTAAAAAAGCAGCAATCCCCAAACGACCTGTTTTAACAGTAAATCTTACCAAAAGAAACAAAGATTCATGGCAGTGTGAAACAAAATTTGGATTACAACTAAATTAAAATGTTTATACTTGCTTTACACCAGTCTCCTTTTTTCTATCTTTTAATTTAGCTATTTAATTAAAGTTAATATTTGATAAAATCTTTCGATTGATTAAAAACAATAAAAATCAGTAATAAAACTAAATAAATTAAACTTTATTGCAATAAAAACTTATAATGTTTTCATTCATATTTAACGAAATATAACGAACTCTTAAGCAAATAAAGAAAACATGAATATTGAATAATGCTAGAGTACGTTACGTTAAAATGGAGAGACAGTTGTCTAATACATCAATATCAGAAGAATTCATTCATTTTCTTCCTTTCTTCCTGTAATATATGATAAATAAAATGTTATTTGAAAAATAAATGTATATATAATGGTAAATATGTATGTATATCTAGATTTAAATTAAAAAAATGGCGAAGACTAATTAGTATGTACACTCTCTGGACAACGTCTATACACTGTGCCAGTTTATTAAAGGTTTATTCAGCTTAATTAAATGACACAAAGTAAATGGAGAATGCTGTTCTGCACGCTATAAGTTCCTACATAAGTCGAAAGCGGTATTACTTCATTTGCAACTTTATAGTACATTTGCCTCGTACTCTCTGTCTTCTCAACAGTTATGAAAAACCCTGTTGTGCTACATTCTTGTAACTGTATTATTTTCTAGTTCCTACATTATATTCTTTTTAATTTCTAATTTAAACATTAAGGCTATATATAATAAGGTAGGTATTATCTGGTCTCTTTTTTATCAGTCAGATTATCTATACATATAGTAAAATTCTAATTGAGTCGAATCTGTACATAAAATATTTTTTGGAACATCTTATTGAAATAGTCATCATTATCTGTAGTATTTCGAATTTGTAGTTTTTAGATTTTTTGTCTGTATGTCAGTTTGCCTGTCCGTCTGTCTGGAAACGCCTCACGAGAAAACCACTGGACAGATTTTAATGTTTGGTATGAAGATAGCTGGCTATCCGGGTCAAAATATTTCAGCTCTGAGAAGTCTATACTAAACAACTAGGGACGAACACGAGCGGAGCAGAGCAGAGCGAGTCGCTAGCATATCATATAATCTGAATGATAAAATAAATAGTTACGTAACATTTCTTAAGCAGGAGAAATTTAATATTAACTCTTGCAATAGCATTTTGATTTAATCATTATTTGCATTCATATAAGAAATTGGTTTGCATTTTTAAAGGTTATTCGTAAGCTAAAATGTTCTCAATAATCTTTTTATTAGAGAAAGGACAGACATCGTTAATAAATGGGAGGACGAAAAATTATAAAAAGAAAAAGAAAAAGACTTGCTATTCAGCGAGAGTGTAACCTTCATAAGGCAGCTTTCATGAAATTATTTCTTGAAAATATGTTTTACTCTTCTCACTTTGTTGTGGGTTAGTATAAAGTATATTGGAATAAGGCAAGTATTGCGTTATATTAAATGACACGAACAAGGAAGAAACAAGTAATTTTTAAAAATCATAACTGTATGTAATAAAAACTTAATAAAAGTATTTATTCATACTCCTCCCTAGTGAATATGAATTAACTAGATGCCGTCTAGAGCTCCAACCGCTTATATATTTCTACTTAATGTGTGTAACTAGATGTACTTAGCATGACCCCTGCATAAAACGGGATGGCAAACCACGAGAATATCAAGCTATATATTACTCGATAAAGGTATATACTTTACCGACTTCAAAAAGTAAGTATAGGATAATAAGTATCCAAATCACTTGCCAAATACAGATTTTCATGATTCTTTTTTTAACTAACAGGCTACAGCTCAAAAATGCTCTCAAATTAATTGACATTTCTTAAATTAGTGTATTTTTAGTGAAAATTAACTAACTACACTAACTAAAACATTAAATTACACCACTAAAAGCTCAACACCGTTTTCCATTTCACTACAATCTCCCAAAGCAAATAATTTGGGCAGCATAATCACTTGTCAGTGATTACATTATAATATGTACTTGTAATTTTTTGAGTAATCGAATATCTAAAAGGTTTCTGTTCAAGTTACGAAATCTAAGCTCCAAAGTAAAACCACTACACAGGGATAATAGAAACCGTGGGCATGTAACTCAACAGGAGTGGACTTGAACCCACCTAAATGTTGCGAATATTTTTATAGAAAATTTTAAATTAAAATTAATCATACATAACGTTACGTTCTATGAGTTCCAGAATCGGAAATTATAGTACGTGCGTTCGGACGTCTTTTGCACTTTTGATATTTTATTGCTTTTGGTTCACGAGAGTCACTTATGGCGATTCACGAAGACTCGCAGTACATGTACAGTTTTGGCTAAACTCAGTCTTTAAGCACTATTCCAGCACTAATTGCACTCGAACAAATAATTCGCTCCTTCAATTTTCCATATTTATTTATTCTCAATCTTTTCTTAGTTCCTAAATTCAACTGAACTTTCAACACATTTTGCCGGGCATTTTATCGCATAAACAAAAAACAGGCTAGTATCTGAAAATTTGAATATTTTCTAGTTATCTCAATTCCTTTCTGGAAATTTGCCATTAACTTTTCTTGTTGTTGTCACATGTGTAGCATGCATCAGACGTGCCATTTCAAATTATTGTTTTTGGTGTAAAGACGATATACACTCCACTAGGCGACATAAAAAAATATTTAAGTGTAAAAAAATTATTAGAAATATATCAAAAAAACAAATGATAAAGTAAATAAATATATTATTATAATAAAATCCTAAACTAAATTTATCATTCAACATTTTATCACAAGCACATTCCTACAGGGCGCAGACAAGGTTACTGAAACTACATAATTATGGAATGGCCAGCAGCAAGCTAAGAAAATTGTTCAAATTCTATAAACAATTTATAGGAATTCTGAGCAGCTCAAGTTGGAAAGGCTTCTGGCACGCGAATATTCTCTCAATGTCTTGTCATTTAAATATTTTTTTGAATCAAAAATACCAATATTTTTTCTAATTTATCTTGTATAAAAACATAAAAGGATATTAATTATAAATTTAAAATAAAGTACAAATATTATGCAAAATTTTAACTTTCTCTTACTTTTAAACTTCATTCGTTCTACGTATGAATTATAGTATTGATATATGTAAACATATGCTTCAGCCTGATTGAGACAAAGGGTGGCATTGGAAACATCCACACTTAAATCTAATCAATAAAATTAGAAGAAATATTCTAAAGTTAAAATAATAAACCAAATATAATAAGCATATTCAATACCATATAATATATAATCAGCACCTAAGTAACATGGTCTCCAGGCAAAAGATCCATGGCAACAAAAAACCCTTCATTTCCGCGCTCATTAAAATGCGATGTATTACGAAAGCAAGTATACCCCGGGTGATAATTTTCCACGCTAATGCTAACTCGTGTAGTCGAGTACAATTTTTTATCCTCTTCTCCAATCTCAAAAGAGAAACTAAAGATATAAAATGAATATGAATATTTTTAATCTAAACTCATTTGATGAAGTTTATTTAAAAAAATATTCATGGAAACATTTACATGAGCAAAAATTAGATGTTTTTACAAAAACCGAGATTAAAATATCATGTGGCAGTGCCCTATTGCTGCAATGGTCGTCGTTTCTATTTCGCGTGAATATACATCGTATTGTGGTGGCAAACTTTTTTATGTTATACATACCTTATAAGGTATGCGTTTTCCTAAATTTACCCTTTCATAGTACATATTAGGTTCGTGTAGTACTGGATACTACTTAGTTAACCATCTCGTCGTAGAAAATTTAAAAGTACCAGTCTACATATGTTTTCTCCGTCGACACTTAAGGGGAAAATGCGTTAAACTATATACAGATGTACATAAATTGAGTTAAAAACTTTAGCTCTGTATCATAATTTCAAAGCTAAACTAGCTAAAATAAATTTACGCCTTAAACTTTATGCATTACACCGAGAAAATTGAGCGGAAATCATGAATATGGATAGTCAAAACTATTTTATAATTTATTTTATATAATTTTGACTATCGAAATTCGTGATTTCTATATAATTCATAATTTCTTACTCAAATATTTAGTTTTTTTTTTTTATTTAATAATTTTAAACCATGTCAGCTCTCTATTTTTTCTTATATATGTACTCTGTATTTTTTCGTATTTTAGGCCTCGACGTAATACGAGTAACTAGCTAATTAACTAGACAAAGTGTGACAATATTGTTACACAAAATAATCTCAAAAGTAATAAAAATGTTATTAATCGATTTAACCGTGTTCCATAACATTTGTTAGTTATTTTATATACTAATCGTAACACTTTATTAACTTAGGTTAAATTTCTTTTAATCACGATTTAAAACATCCTTTTAGAATCCTATGAATATATACCTTTCAAAAATGAGTATTCCTTATCTCTGCAACTAAAATGCACGTTGCTATGACACTAATACCTCTCCTATGCATATACGCATGTCCCACTGCTGGGCACGGGCCTCCCTTCTATGCGAGGCAGATTAAGCCATAGTCCACCACGCTAGCCAAATGCGGATTGGCTTCTTCTTTTATATGAATACAGAATTCCCCATAATTGGGTCTATCAAATATTACAACATTAGTGTAAAGTAATTTTGATATTGTCATAGATGGCGAACATGATGGGCTGACAGCTTTGCTGGGGGCTTCTTCCCCTGACTTGGCGCTAGCTTCAGATGCATCAGACAGCTTACCTTTGCCAGATCACGACAACGGTATGTCACTTTTATATGCACATATATCAAGCAAACCCTTTTGGAAGAAAAGCTTTATTTATTTTTTGTTTTATAATTATAAAATATTTACTAAAAATTTAGAAGACTCCTTAGATTTATTTGTTTAAAGAAATTTCTCTTCTCTTTTTTCTTTCAAAAGAAGGTATTACTCTATAACACGGGCCTTAGCCAAGTGTGATAGAATTAAAAACTAGATTGACTTTTAATAATATTCTGAAGGTAATACCAAAAAATCACACTTTATTATTTGACGAATTTAGATCGGTATTTTACACACCTTTAGTATCGTGTACCTGCCAAAGCCACCATAGCCTGAACTTCATAATGGTCCATCGTTTTTATCTGTGTTGGGAGCATGCGCTGACAAACTTTCAGCCTTTATAAAATGACGAAGGTCTGGCGTTCACGGGCTCTTCCTCTATTAGGTACTACTTTGATCGAGAGAGGGCCGATCCCGCTCGACGAAGACGAAGGCGAAGGGACGCTGGTAATACACGTTCCCGTACAATAACAACGTAGCTTTGTTAAATGGACATAGGACCATGGAAGCATCCCTAAACTTTTAGGGGACTGTTGTGTATAGAGACGTGCTTAATGTAGCATAGCGCAAGGAGAGTACCGGTGCGTTCTTAAAGAGATCCCGGTGCTTTCCGTTATACGCAGTAGATGGTAACCGAGGGGGTTTTAGTAGGTAAAAATCCTGCATATCCTAACCATCTCGTACGTTGGTTGGATATCTTTAGAAGATTTCCCCCTCGTTAAATTAAAAAAAAAAAAAGGTACTACTTTGATAATCGAAAACTAAATAATAAATGATAATAAATATATATGTTGGGGTATTAACACACACAGCACCATCTCGTTCTATGGTAAGCTACGAGACTTGTGTTATGGATGCCAGATAGTTGATACACTACACATACCTATATAACTTTAAATACATACATATTATAAATATAAACATCCATGACTGGAGTACAAACAAGCGTGATCATCACACAAATATGCCCCCAGCGTTGCTCGAACCTGCGAACGCTGGCGCAGCAAGTAAGGTCAGTGCAAACTGAGGCAAACGTGTCTGTCCTCAATAAATATTATTATGGTATAATTAATTATCATGACTATTGATTTATACTAATTGTACTTCTCCCATGTAATAATTTGTATTAGTTCTTCTCTCCGTACAAATTTTCAATCCAAAGCAATTTCTCTTCCATATTGCACCGAATTTAGGACGTCCTTAGGATTCTAAGCAGGTAATTAACATAGAGGTAATTAATGTAGAGTTAGTTTATATATTGTGTCCGTGAGAAAATAAGGCTTCAATAAACAACGTTCAAAACAAAAGTGGTCAATAGCGTGCTCTTTTCTTCTCGTTAAAAGAGCCAAATAAGCCCAAACTCGAAATAACTATTGTTAGCCTGTAAAGAATTTCACAATTCAACTCCTCGTGAATATTTATTCATCATCATATTATTGCATTGCCTCTGAATTACACAAATTAAATTCAAATAAAAACGACAATTATAAGTAGATTACATCGACTTCCAAGATTTGATTACATAGTAAATTAGAAGTGAATCTCGTAAAAGCACTTTAAAATGATAGATTGTATGTATATTGTATATGTATATAATGCACTCGCTTTGCTTTGTAAAATATTAAGTACATTCCGTGATAAAATAAGACTACATAAACCAAAACAGGAGAGCACCTCTAAAGTTGCTTTGTAACGTTTTACAAATGACAAATGTGAAATGTCTCTTTGTACTAGATTGGAGTTGGCTCACGTCTCAAATGGCAATCAGTCCAAAAGGCTATTTCTCTAAGAAATGCTACTATAGTACAAAGGCTGTATTTTTTTATTAAAACAAATATTAATAAGTTGCATTTACTTCGTAGGTGATAAGTTTTATGTTAAAAGTATTAATTTAGTTATAAAAAAATATTTAAACGAACATTTTTAATGGGATAAAAATGGTCAGAAATTGAGGATGCTTAACCTCTTAGCTTGCTTTGTAACAATGCAAGTCGCACTGCACTAGACAGGAGATGACACACGTGTCGCAAATGACGAGAAATTTTACTGTGCTATATTACATACATATTTAAGCACTTTACTTCTTCTGTAGATCTTATTAATTAGAAATGTGATAAATAAAAATAAAATAAATATTTCTTTCTTAGATTCACGCGAATACATGCCATTTTAAATAAAACTATCTATTCATTAACATGGTCACGGGAGAGACTTTTCTCCCGAAAATCGGAAAATATAGTTTTATTTAAAAACTTTTATATAGTTTTATATACCTTCGTCAACGTAAAGCATTGTAACAGAACCTCTGGTTTACGAGACAATACACTGAGAGTTGATACTATCCTCATACGGAATGAATAGTTTATTAGATAGACAAATGTTTATTTAGTTACGTCTGATACGTGAATAAATAAATACACCATCGACGACGTACAGATTTTATGCCCAAATAAAATAACAAGATGGATGTACCTTATGCACGAGAGAACTCATAGACAAAAATTAGTGTCTTAATTATTGTGGTCTAAGCATTACTGTATGTATATAGTGTTAGTAATTCATTTTAAATAAGACTACAGAGATTCAGCAATTCCTCTTTACTTCGATCACTTAACAGAATTTCGACCACTAGTTCGCCCAAGAACAGTAGTTCGCCTAGATTATTTTGATTCAACGAATCCTCTAATTTAAATCTACCTAGGTATACCTTCAGATATTGGACTATATTGTAAATGCGCAAGTTTGTACATGTGTGTATGTTTCTTACTGCTTCACTGACTGATTTAGATGTAATTTACAACAAATATACTGTGACGACAGTGAAGTAACACATAGGCTATTATTAAGAGACGCTCCCGAGCAAATCAAGGATAAGTTGCTAGAATAAACAAAATGGCAATGTGTAATACTTTCTTAGATTTACACGAATATTTGACATTTTAAATAAAACTATCTTTTCGGATTTTTAGCGGATTTATTTGGATTTTTGGTTCCCGATGTTTCGAATGCTTTGCAGAAATCATGGTCAGACTGAGGTTTAGATATCTCGAAGGTATAGTTGTTACAGACAGCCTACCCACAAATAACAAAATGAAAATTGCACCAATTACCTTACAATATTTTAACTTTAAACATTTTTATAATTTTAATTAGTTTTATAATTGAATATGGAATATTATTTATTTAATTTTTGCTGTTATTATTATAATTATTACAATTTTAAAAATATTAATAAGTAATCTATATTTAGTGTTGCCATTATTATATTTATAACCATAAAGAAAAAATATAAAATATAATATTAATTATTTAAGCCACATAATAATGGTTCTATGTGTAATTTAAAAAAAGATAAAATTAATTAAGAATAATTATTTAAAAAGACAAATTACTACGCAACACTATTACTATATACTTTTACAAATGAAAAATGAAAAATATTAATCTGAAATGTTGTCATTTTGATCCAAAAATTTTGAACTTAGGTAGATGTAGTAAGTTAAAATCCAAAAAGATAGTTTTATTTAAAATTGTAATGTGTATTTAATAGTTTTTGGTTTGTCTTTCTTTCGCACAACAGGGTAACGTATAGATTTTTGACATAGAGATGGGTCGATGGGCCGGAGAGTTTAATAGGCTAAAATACTTTAGCACCTAACAAACCAAAGGCTCGTCACTAGTCTTTTCACATTTTAAATTTCTAATTGTATTCCCACCCTCCTTAGTTCTTTCATTTAGAAGACACTGTTATTACAAATTTTAGTATTCTGCATACACCCTACGCCGCTTTTGTCATAAACTTGAAAGTTTCTTCCGTATTGCCGAAAGCGACAAACTCGGGCAATTCGCGAAACACATCAATCTCAAAGTTGAATAGGGTTTGGGGAACTAAATCCACACAGTGAAGACCCGACAAATCGTTCTATTTGTCAGAGAAACTATAACTAAACAATCTATTGAATTGTATATGTCGCCACCTTAGTGGTGGATCCGACACGATATATCGTCTCGCTAAGCGATCCATAATAACTTTTAAAATACTAGTAAATATCTGTTTTAAATAAAATATATAGTGTATAAAAATAAGCATTTAAGCATTATCTGCTTTAGCATTATATAGCTAAATAATACCTACTATATAAATAGCATACCTAACTTAAGTTTTTTAAAGAGTATGTTTTGTGTCCTTCTTTATCTTTGATTGGAGGGGTACTTCCTTCAAAAATGTATGTTTTTTGGTTGGTGTAGATAACTTTAAGTGGATCTCTCGGATCTCGGAAATCACGAAAATAGCATTTTAAATATGATGGTCAAAACCGATATTAAAGTTGAATCGACCTCGCACAAGGGCAATATTCTCTTTAGATGAGAGATGCGAAATACTCAACCGAACCCGCCCATAACGGTCTACATGACAGAAAACCGTGAGAATCTTTTTTTGTGTTGTACGATCAATACCGTATGTAACGTACTCCAGAAGACAGAGAATACATGCAACTGCAGAACATTCATACTCGCCAGTTCTGATATTTTGACCAAGTTTGCTATTAAGCCTCCAAGTTTTGCCTGTGGAAATGTAAATGAATAAAGATATGGTAATGTCCCATTTTGTTCCACTATGTTTAGCGATGACCTTTTAAGGACTGTGTTTATTTTTTGAAATGTTAAGTTTTCCTTTTTCCACTTCGTAAATAATTGCGTCCTTGTCCTCGACTATCTCCTCTACTGGCGTTGGTCTGTTCCGTATTTCTTCCAGCCCCTGGCTCCTTCGTCTCTTCCTCTGCTAGTTCGCTGCGTTGCACGTCCCACAACGTGTCTTCAACTTGTCGTTGGGGGACTCATTAGCATCTGGTAATCAAGCCGGGCGCGAAGCCAAGAAACGCACTCGAGGTGGTGGCTCAACTTGGTGGGCGGTGGGCCATGCTCCTGGTAATTTTCT